AAACATTATTTTATCTGTGAACAAGACATTTGTCATTTGGTTAATCCACATGTTCTTTACTTCATACTGTTCTTACAATGGTTTGGTTTTCATACTGCCCACTCTCTAAGTGCATACACATCATATGTAAACATTATTTTATCTGTGAACAAGACATTTGTCATTTGGTTAATCCACATGTTCTTTACTTCATACTGTTCTTACAATGGTTTGGATTTCATACTGCCCACTCTCTAAGTGCATACACATCATATGTAAACATTATTTTATCTGTAAACAAGACATTTATCATTTGGTTAATCCACGTGTTCTTCATACTGTTCTTACAATGGTTTGGTTTTCATACTGCCCACTCTCTAAGTGCATACACATCATATGTAAACATTATTTTTTCTGTGAACAAGACATTTGTCATTTGGTTAATCCACGTGTTCTTTACTTCATACTGTTCTTACAATGGTTTAGATTTCATACTGCCCACTCTCTAAGTGCATACACATCATATGTAAACATTATTCTTTCTGTGAACAAGACATTTGTCATTTGGTTAATCCACATGTTCTTTACTTCACACTGTTCTTACAGTGGTTTAGTTTTGCCACTATTATATATGGTATGAATGCTAACTTTATGAAGCCTGTTTCTCACGGTGCACACCACTAACGATACTGTTTTCTATGATGGATTAGAAAAATGTTAACCATTGGTTATATGGCATAAAATACTGAAACTAGATGGTTGCCTCGAGCCCATATAGTTGTCTTGTAGGGTTACTGGCAATGGTCTACCCTGTTCAGTTCTACAGCCATCTGTGCTGGTGGTCTGACAGCATTTAACCTTTTGTTAACCTCTCTGTAACTACTTGTTGTACTTGACCAGTTTCTACCTTACATACTGTCCTTCAAAACATTAAACTTTCCAAATGTCTTTCACCGGTGTTCTGGCATGTTTTGTTATACAGCTGTTGTTTAAACTGACAACACGGTGAATTTTCTTCGGTTGTAAATACTACAGAAACGTGAATATTAGAGATCACAAAACTAGCCACTGGATACTTCTATAAAATTAACTAAGGGATGCCATCGGCATTATTTAATAACAGTAGTTGGGCCTTTTCATAGCCAACACATAGAAAGTCTTAACTATCTCTAAAATGGCTTTGAGCACCGTATTATTACAATTTAGAAAACTAATTTTATGAGCTACAGTGAAAAGAGACTAATAAAGGAATCAAATGAATAGAATGTAAAAGTTCTATTGTTAATGCTGTACAGTGTACTACATAAGCCATTTAGATAAATATATTCAATGCTCCGAGAAGACAGAACAGTTTAAACATACTTTTGTAATAATCAATACATCTGACTACAACTACAATTTACCTTAACCATACCACCAAGAAGGTGCCGAGATCCAGCTTCAGCACGACACCCGGCATGACAAGGTGAAAAGTAGGTGATACCATTCTTTCCACAAACAGGTTGTATGTCATTCGGAGAGCAGCGGCATCCTAGGTTGCAGTCGGCTGTCAGGTTGACTTGGAACGGCTTAAGCTCAGTACTGTATTAATAAGTTACAAAGATTATAAGTTATTCTGCAGAATATAATACAATCAAAAGAGAACAAATTAGAAGTTTCCCAACTGGAAAAAACAAATCAGACAAAAACTTGTACAGATTTTATTTTTAATGTGTGTGTGAGTTTGCATGTAACTATTAAACACAACTAGCACTACACTAAACAATTTACATGTTAAAGCAAGGAAGAGTGGCCCAGCCATCTGAATGTTGTCGCATCCCAGGAAGTAAAGAATTGTGTATAGTCCCATTCACAGTATGTTGAAGTGTGTAACTATTAAACACAACTAGCACTACACTAAACAATTTACATGTTAAAGCAAGGAAAAGTGGCCCAGCCATCTGAATGTTGTCACAGCCCAGGAAGTAAAGAATTGTGTATAGTCCCATTCACAGTATGTTGAAGTGTGTAACTATTAAACACAACTAACACTACACTAAACAATTTACCTGTTAAAGTAAGGAAGAGTGGCCCCAGCCATCTGAATGTTGTCACAGCCCAGGAAGTAAAGAATTGTGTGCAGTCCCATACACAGTATGTTGAAGCGTGTAACTATTAAACACAACTAGCACTACACTAAACAACTAACCTGTTAAAGTAAGGAAGAGTGGCCCCAGCCATCTGAATGTTGTCACAGCCCAGGAAGTAAAGAATTGTGTACAGTCCCATACACAGTATGTTGAAGAACAGAACAAACTGAATTGCTCCTAAAAAAAAAAAGAGAGACAAGAATTAAACTGAAACTCTTGGTTATACAATATTATATGAATGAAGAATGAAAGGGGTTCTGAAGTACAACTTTTAGGATTTATTTCAAAAGCAGGATAGAGTAATATTTAAAAATTTACCAGTAACTCTTTATTAATTTTGTTTCTGACACCAACTAAAAACTGAGTTATATATATTGCAAGAAATGAAAAAAAAATATACTTACCAGTAGTTGAAACAAAAAAGATACCACCAAAATAAAAGTACCTCGATTCTTTACAAGTCCATTTTAAATCTTTATTTTTGTATCTTTGTTTTCACTTTTACACCACTGTCTTTTATCCCACAAGAAAAAAAACCAACTTACAAGCTTTTACCAGTATTTTTTTCAAATGTCTAACATTAACTATTTTTATTACAATATTTACTGTAACTATGGCATTATTTTTTTCCAGAAAATCTTCCACATGTTTAACAATCACATTAAATATTCTTGAATAACAGATGGTGACAAAAATAGGTAAAAAAAAAGAATTATGTTTTAGTCATTTTAGCAGCCAAATTTATGGATCTTTCTTTTTTTTATTTACAAAGATCTGAAACTTGAAATCTTTATTTTCACAGACAATAAATTGAAATGTTGATGCAGTCTTGTAGTTGAGGTTATAAACTCAACTTCTGATATATCATTAACAGAGACTTGACCAAATGGTTACTGAACTGTACAATCAGATGGTCCAAAATTTGACCCTTGATATCTTGCTGAACAAGCTCTTCACTTACAGCTGTGAAAGCACTACAATAATCCTACTTATTGGTTAAAAGTATCCTTCTCTTGTTCATAACTTGACAATTATCACTCAAGGTGATAATTAGGTTGAAAATATCATATATTAAAGTACAAACTACATATTTATTTAGTTTCAGTTTTGACCATCTGGCTTTTAATAATGTTATTAGTATTTTAATTCACTAGTTCAAACAGTCACAGCTAACATAATGCTAATTATTTGGCTTTCCTTATCACATATAAGATGTACATTCCTGCTTTTCATTACTGCTAACAGTTTACTATTTCCAATTGTAAAAATGCCATCTTTGTCTTACCTTTAGGCCTGAGTTGTAATCTTTTCAACAAGTATCCTCCAAGAAAGATCCCGATACAAGCTCCGGGAATAGCAATCCCTCCTGTTGGAGAGAAACATCAGTCAGCATTCATAGTGCAAAGTTGTCTTGTGCTCGTTTTAATAAAACTTTGTTACAAAATGGTTAACCGTGTTATGCCAAAAAAAGCTGTTCTTTCCATCTGAACTCTAGCTAGGGTCACTCAGGTCAACTTGCAACTAAACTTTCAAAATTAAATCTAAAAATAAAATTCTATTACCGTTTCAAATTCTTCTTTATAGTCAAACATATTGCAGAGTTGATATTCCAGCATTACATTCATGATGTCAGAGAACACGTAGGTTTAATAAGTCTTAATACAAAAGGATAAAACCCTATAAACCGAGCCCTTTCAAAAGGTGGACCTTTCTTCTTCAGTTTACTCCTGAAGAAAAAATGCTCGGGTTCTTATCATTGTAACATTACATAATATTTACCTAGTTTATTTCATATATATAAAAAATGTTTTTAAATGTTCAAACTTTCCTTTTGTATCTCTAGGTGGCTGAATTGTAAACATCATACTTGTAAATTTCATTTTAATTAGTGCAGGCTTCAAAATGTATATTTATCTCTACCAATCAAAATTCAACATTTTACTAACTTCATATTTATGTTTCTACACCATTCTGTCTGTTAAACAGCAAATTTACTGGTAGTACCACCATTAAAGTTTAGGAGAACTTTGAATTTGTTTATTAGCTTAGCAAAAGGATATATCCCAACTTTTATTCGATTCATAAAGCAGAGATTCTGTGTTTTAATGTTCCATAATGAAGAATGTAATAGGGTTGTGTAAAAATTAGTTATGCGTAACAATAACAAAGCAACATCACGATGATGTTTTGAAACACTTCCAAAATATGTAGAAGAAAAAAAAATTTCTAATAATGTTCTTTATTTGTTCCTAATCATTTTTTTTATGTCATATTATGTCTATTTGAAAGCTACAAGAACATTCTTTAACAACAAGGCATCAGGTAAGGATTTTCAGGTTTTGCAAGTACAGTAAGCTGGGCCTACATTGGCAAGATATATGATTGAAACAATTATTTTTTTAATATATTGCTAAGTTTGTTAAATCCAACCGAGACACACAAATATAAGAAACTGAAAAGAAACTAAATCAAAATATTAACGTGAAAATATCACACTCTGATATCTGATAAATGTAATGGTCACACCGTTTTGAAAAGTGAGGTCACAGGTCACCAATAAATATGTTTTCAGTCATACCATTTATGTACGACTAACTGTGGAAAGTCAACTGATTGGATATACAAAATAAACCTTTCTGATGACCACTAATATAAAAGACTAATATCAAAGAGAGTATTTTGTTTTTGAAATGTCTGTGAAATCGACAGCAACTGCCTTTTAGAGAAATACTAGTAGAAATATATTGGTGACTATACAATCTAGTAATACAATTCAAATGGAGAGAACAATGCACCTGCCTTTCATCTTTTTTGTTGTTTCCAAACAGTGTATCACACCAAAATTTCCAAAATTTCATAACCTAAACATTTATGCAAATACTACATTACATCAAAACCTATTACGCAGGGTGCTCCAAAGTTAGTTATTTACAGATAAAGTTGCAGCAGTGTAAACACAAATGGTATCATCTTACTACATGAATGATTACACCTCCACATAACAACCATAGTGAGTATGGTAGACGTCACACCCATAAAAAGTGCATTACACTTTCCCACTTGGCTTAGGTCAGACACTCTACTTTCTTTGCTATGGATGTCCCCGTTCTTCATGAGACTGATGTATTCCCCGGTGACAACAAATCTAACACTTCTAGTTACAACTGTAGAAAGATTAAGTATCTATGCATTCATTCTTCTTGTTTTAACTGTAGAAAGATTAAGTATCTATGCATTCATTCTTCCTTGTTTTAACTGTAGAAAGATTAAGTATCTATGCATTCATTCTTCTTGTTTTAACTGTAGAAAGATTAAGTATCTATGCTTTCATTCTTCTTGTCTTAACTGTTCACACATCTTTTAGATACATGATAAAATGTTTTGGGTTTTAGCTTATTTAGTAAATCGTACTAACTTTCATCAAAAAAAAATCTCAATAAACAAGCAATTTTATTAAGAAGTTTTATAGACAAACTCTATAATTCAGTCCAGAAGTTTGGTATATTACCTGTGAATAGATTAGCTTGAGACTTTCCAAGAGAAAACTGTGTTTCTAGATACTTTGGAAGAAATATGATAAACCCACTAACGATAGACAGTTCCATACATGAACCCAGAGAGGTGACAACGTACACAGGATTGCACAAAAGGTTCCATATAGATGCCGGAATATCTGAAATAATAAAATAACAATATTACCTTTCCAATAAAAGAAAGCTGAATCAGTAATCAAAACCTTACATCTAAAGTTATTTAATTATTCATGTGCTCCAAACAACACAATCAACCTGGAGTTATGTCTACTGTTCTATGTCCACCTTTATATTGTGTCATTGCAAGTGTGTAACTGAGGTTAACTAGCATTCTAGTTATATCTACAAACCCCAGGTTTATTCACATACTGGTTGTATAGAACACGTTATCTTACATTGACAACCCCAGGTTTATTCACATATCGGTTGTATAGAACACGTTATCTTACATTGACAACCCCAAATTTATTCACATACTGGTTGTATGGAACACGTTATCTTACATTGACAACCCCACGTTTATTCACATACTGGTTGTATGGAACACGTTATATTACATTGACAACCCCACGTTTATTCACATACTGGTTGTATAGAACACGTTATCTTACATTGACAACCCCACGTTTATTCACATACTGGTTGTATAGAACACGTTATCTTACACTGACAACCCCAGGTTTATTCACATACTGGTTGTATGGAACACGTTATCTTACACTGACAACCCCAGGTTTATTCACATACTGGTTGTATGGAACACGTTATCTTACACTGACAACCCCAGGTTTATTCACATACTGGTTGTATGGAACACGTTATCTTACATTGACAACCCCAGGTTTATTCACATACTGGTTGTATGGAACATGTTATCTTACATTGACAACCCTATGTTTATTCACATACTGGTTGTATAGAACACGTTATCTTACACTGACAACCCCAGATTTATTCACATACTGGTTGTATAGAACACGTTATCTTACATTGACAACCCCAGGTTTATTCACATACTGGTTGTATAGAACACGTTATCTTACACTGACAACCCCAGGTTTATTCACATACTGGTTGTATAGAACACGTTATCTTACATTGACAACCCCAGGTTTATTCACATACTGGTTGTATAGAACACATTATCTTACATTGACAACCCCAGGTTTATTCACATACTGGTTGTATAGAACACATTATCTTACATTGACATCCCCAGGTTTATTCACATACTGGTTGTATGGAACATTATCTTACATTGACAACCCCAGATTTATTCACAAACTGGTTGTATAGAACACATTATCTTACATTGACAACCCCAGATTTATTCACAAACTGGTTGTATAGAACACGTTATCTTACATTGACAACCCCAGGTTTATTCACATACTGGTTGTATAGAACACATTATCTTACATTGACAACCCCAGATTTATTCACAAACTGGTTGTATAGAACATGTTATCTTACATTGAAAACCCAAAATTTATTCACATACTGGTTGTATAGAACACATTATCTTACATTGAAAACCCCAGATTTATTCACATACTAGTTGTATAGAACACATTACCTTAAATTAAGTAGGAAAACCCACAATTAATGGATCTTGTTGTTTAAACAAACCTGACTAGTACCAGTTTTTATGTTTTTTCAACAAGAAAATTTATTAAACAAACACTCTGTTAAGTTACTTACAGGATCTTTAATAAGCAAACACTGGAACACCTGATTTAAGGTAGAATAATTTGAATAAAATAATTTTCTTTGATATTTACTTCTGAACTACAGTTAAAAGAAACAAACCTACTAGCAGTATACACCACTATCTGAAAACAGAAAATAAACCTACTAGCAGTATACATCACTATCTGAAAGCAGAAAATAAACCTACTAGCAGTATACACGACTATCTGAAAACAGAAAATAAACCTACTAGCAGTATACACGACTATCTGAAAACAGAAAATAAACCTACTAGCAGTATACACGACTATCTGAAAACAGAAAATAAACCTACTAGCAGTATACATCACTATCTGAAAACAGAAAATAAACCTACTAGCAGTATACACCACTATCTGGAAGCAGAAAATAAACCTACTAGCAGTATACACCACTATCTGAAAGCAGAAAATAAAGGCAAACTAAAATGAATATCAACTACTCTAAAAAAACAGCAACCAAAAGATAAAGTTCAGTGTCCTAGAACACGTACATAAAAGAAATAACACAAAGATTAAAGTTACTACTTCGCGTTTTCTTGAAATAATAATAAAAAAAGTTTGAAATCCTTGATACCCTCGATCATGCTCAAACTTATACATTAAGACTTTCGAGAGCCCTAGGAAATAGTTAGATCATGCTATGCTTAAACAGTTTACCCTAAAAATAGGACAACAAGCTGTGTTAACATCACAATGGTAAAGAGTTTACTCATAAAGACGTACACCAAGCTATGCTAATATCACAATGTTTACCCTAAAAATAGGACAACAAGCTGTGTTAACATCACGATGGTAAAGAGTTTACTCATAAAGACGTACACCAAGCTATGCTAATATCACAATGTTTACCCTAAAAATGGAGTAACAAGCGGTGTTATTATGTCCCAATGATAAGCAGATTATTAAAAAAAAAAAGAGATACCACATCATATTAATCTGCTACAATGTTGAACAGATTACCCAGACATCTTAACATGGATTATCCAGAAAACTGGGCACCAATCTCGAGGATAAGAATAACCAATAACAAAAATCCTGCAATATTTTAAGCCCAGACAACAAAGACTTGTAACATGCTAGGGAGGTATGACTTGAAAATTAGTTCTCCTTTGCATTCTCCAATTTTTTTTCACCATTTAACAGATACAATGCCCTTAATTTTAGGCAATGAATTAGCCAAATCCGGTTAGTAATTTGATATTTCTATGCACTTGTTAGTAGTTCCATGAGTCAAAGTTGTGTTATGTCTGGTTGTTTGCTAATTTCTGGTATAAATTCTTCCCGAGGAACTTCAGCGATACAAGTCCTTTCTTAAATAAAACTAGTTTATTCTTTCTCAATACAACTTTGCAATACACAGAATTTCCACAGTTACTTTAACTTAAACACACGCTATAATTCACAACGATTCACGCACTTTACTTACGGTCACTACCGCTTGCTTGACTCAATTATCTGTTTCTATATCTCCCTATCTGCAATCATATCTCCGCTTTATTTGCCGGGCTTATATACTAAAATAGAGGGTGCCTAGAAAAGACTAGAGTTGCCAGGAACAGTCATGAACCTTCTAGAAACTCCTGACGTGTTACCAGCATCACGTGACTTCTGCTGTTGTAACAGTTGTATAACAGCCCTGTGTAGCATAGTTTTAAAGTTTCGTGCTTATTGTGCATAAAGGTTTTGATGTTAAATCAACACACTTTAATTAATTCCTCTAGTTTTTACTACCCAGCTTGTGGTTTACTCCTAATAACAAATTTAATTTCTATATATTTTTTTCTCCAACCAGTCCTATTTGAAGTTTTTAACTGAACTATCAACTTATTTAGCCCTCACTTCATCTGGTCGCTTGACAATCTTTGCTATTCTGTAACATTTTAAAATATAACTTTCCTTTGTCAATACCACTATATTTTCCTCAGACAGTTACAAGGAATAGAAGAAATAAACCACAAGAAAATAGATGTTTCAAGTCTAACTTGAAACGACATAATGCCCAGAACTGCAGACAAAAGCCTGTATGGAATAAGAACTCCTCCTACAGGATATCGGAAAAAGGGAACTGTCATAGATGTGGGAAACCTAGCTGTTACAACTGAGATTGTGAGGAATCAGCTGCTGTTAATACACCACAGAAATAATACCCTAAGGATGCTGTTAATACACCACAGAGATAATACCCTAAGGATGCTGTTAATACACCACGGAGATAATACCCTAAGGATGCTGTTAATACACCACGGAGATAATACCCTAAGGATGCTGTTAATACACCACGGAGATAATACCCTAAGGATGCTGTTAATACACCACGGAGATAATACCCTAAGGATGCTGTTAATACACCACGGAGATAATACCCTAAGGATGCTATTAATACACCATGGAGATAATACCCTAAGGATGAGACTTCAAGCCCAAACAGACCTAAGGAACAACAAATAAAATAGCTAAACCAGACATCACGAAAACAGGAATTAGTCCATGAGTTATTGTGTTTATTAATGGAAAACCTTGCACTGTGTGTGTTGATCGACAATGGTTCTATAACTACAACTGTTTGATCTGATTTGACAATGAAAGGTGTAAAATTGAATATATAGATATAAAAAGGAGGAAGATTGATACAAACAGCAGGTGGACATAAAGTTCCATCAAGAGAAAAGCTAGAAATTACCTTCACTGTAGGAAGCTACTCACAACATGTAGAAAATAAGTGCATACGGGAAACTTATTTCACGAGACAGAGATGCAAGGTTAGATTCAAGGAGTTTCACAGGTTATGATCAGAATACATATTTTAGTTACATTTGTTAAAACATATACATAAAAATACTACTTAGAGCCTACTTTAGAGGTTGAGGCCAGTTTGCAGCTGGAAGTCTTGCTTCAATAAACCTACTTTTTTTTTCTCATTATGTTAGTTGTCCAAAAAATAATTTACGTATCTTCCACATATGCATTTCACAACACAAAAAATACATCAGGTACTGGAACAGAATGTCCCAAAACCACTCTAATTTACCTGGTTTTCTAACTAAGCTATTTACGAGGCCTGTGAGAAAAGTATCCGACCTTTGGCTGGGGAATAAAAACTGGCATACCTGGAGCGTTGGAAACCTAATCACCCTCAAAGTAGTCTCCTTGGGACT